ACTTCGGTGATCTGCTGGGAACCGTGTCTTAACGATCAGTCTACTGCGGGACCTCAAAAGTTGAAATTTGACTCATTCCTATTTGAATTTCGCTGTTTACATTTTAATAATGGGCATATCTTAAAAAGTGGGAACAATAACGAATAATAGCAGCTAATTTTGAATTCGATTGATATTTATGTTATATACACTTCACTACATATGCGATTCTAGTTAATTAAATTTAACACTATAATGATTCGATGAAAAAAGATTATCAATAAATTTATGGGGAAAAAAACTAATTAAAATGCAGTATATCTCAAAGATGTGCACACAGTGGGCTATCTGCAACTGTCTAGGAAACATACCATCACAATTTTGATCCTCGGAAGAGGGGATGGCTCCTCTTCTTCGGTAGCCCAACGACCTGCTCCAGAAGTCGAGCACTTCACTGTAGAACAGGTTTACGAGGACTGATACCGCACACCCTCGGTCCCTTTGCAGGCTGATAAAAGTGGTCACCCACTCCCACATAGACCGCAGGCAGTGATACTTGACTTCAGTGTTCTGCTGGGAACCGTGTCTTAACCATCAGTCCACTACTGGACTCGTGTACAAAGTAATTTTAAAATAAGGCAGACAGCAGTTACTATAGAACTAATTTTTTGAAATAAAGTCTTTTCAAAAACAACATGCTAATAACCATTACAAACTGTTAAGAGTTTGTAATGCTTATTCGTGAGTATTCTTTCCCATAACCAGAGCCCTTGAAAATTGTGCATCATGTCGAAACGGAAGAAATGCAACAATGTAGTGACAATGAAAAAGCGTTTGCGATGTAATTGTTTTTTTAATATGTTACTCCAACACTAAATTGTTTGAATTCGAAAAAAAGTGCACAGCCTGAAGATTATTAATTTGTTTTAAGGCTATATGTTTTGAAGGTTCTGTCATCACATGAAATAACTGTTTTGAGAATGCTATTTTTACAGTTGCTATGATTTTAAAACATTTATTCGGGAATATTTGTTCAAGTTTAGCCCATTTTTAAACAGCGAAAAGTCGCGCCAAAAATGAATACAGTATACTCGCGATATCTATAAGTTGAAGGGACGCTAAAAATCTATCGAGATAACAAGCTCAGAACTAAATGTGTTCTAAAAAGTAGAAAAATGTGTTCTAAACTAATACTCTAAAAAGTAGAGTGTTGAAACATAAGAATAACTTTCGAGATAACAAGTTCAGAACTAAATATGTTCTAAAAAGTAGAAAAATGTGTTCTAAAATAATACTATAAAAAGTAGAGTGTTGAAACATAAGAATAACTTTCGAGATAGCGAGTTTTCGAGATAACAAGTTCAGAACTAAATGTGTTCTAAAAAGTAGAAAAATGTGTTCTAAAATAATACTCTAAAAAGTAGAGTGTTGAAACATAAGAATAACTTTCGAGATAGCGAGTTTTCGAGATAACAAGTTCAGAACTAAATGTGTTCCAAAATATTGCTCTAAAAAAGTAGAGTCATGAAACATAAGAATAACTACTATTAAATATGTATGTAATGATAGTTGACTATAAGTCTAAAAACGACAATGATAATTTTATTTTTAAAAGGTAAGAACAATTAGGCATCAAATAGAAAAGAATTGGTTTGCAATAAACTTACATTGCGATTTTTCCGAAAAAATTCAATTTCTATTTCGAAAAAGATTCGACATAACAGGATTTTGAGAAGAAACTCTTCGACATCGGAATTCAAATTAACATTATTTGGATATATAATAACAAGAGGAAACAGACGTTAAAAATCTATCGAGATAACAAGTTCAGAACTAAATATGTTCTAAAAAGTAGAAAAATGTGTTCTAAAATAATACTCTAAAAAGTAGAGTGTTGAAACATAAGAATAACTTTCGAGATAGCGAGTTTTCGAGATAACAAGTTCAGAACTAAATGTGTTCNAACTAACACTAAAAAAACATTAACGATATAAAAATTTTAATAACTATGAAATATTTATAATTAGAGGCTACTAATTTGAAATGAAGTCTTCACTGAAGAACAGTAAACACTAGGACTCAAAACTGTAAAAGCTGAAACAAAGAGAAAAAATTCAGGGATTTCCTTCATTCCTGTTCATTGCATCAAGTATTTCTGTACAGATTTTCTATAAAATCAGCACTTCGTTCATTAAATGAAACAATGATTCTGGAAGGATCAAGGGAAGTTACTAGGATTGTTGTTGGTTGATTTATTGTACCAATTTCAAATCATTATTTATAATTCACAAGTCATAACTGCATAGCTGCCAACTTGTTAAAAACAAAAATAGGAACACAACGCATAAGCCAATTTGGGGTAATTGTGACACAAAGGGAAAAACCCTGAACATTTTTTGTGTAAAAAACTCGATATCAATTTATAAACCATACATGTTTCAAAATAAGTCATAAAATCACTGGACTCCAAACTTATCTCGAAAAAGATTCGACATAACAGGATTTTGAGAAGAAACTCTTCGACATCGGAATTCAAATTAACATTATTTGGATATATAATAACAAGAGGAAACATATTTTTTTGACATTGCAAGGTTTTGGTGATAGCGAAGCTCGAGATATCGATAGTATACTGTAGTATTTTTTATTGCAGACATGCTTCCTAAAGCATAAAAATACTTAAAAAGTTATTATAAGTTAGATAAGCTTAAAATACTTAATCTATTTTCGGCTAAAGTAATTGCGAGGATTCGTACAAAACTTTTTCAGACATACATGAAAACAAAAATCCTTACAAAAATCTTTCACACAATAGAATACATACGTTGCTGACATCTTTTCAGGACACTGGAGAAAAGAAACTGGACGAAATAGAAGAAACTAATATTGATCAATAGTTGTACACACAGTTTTTTTTTTAAAAAAATAAACCATTTTCATATTAATTAAATTTTATAGTTTCAAAACCTATATAATTTATTATAAATTATTTGGAATTATATTTTCCTTATTCTCCAAACTATTCAAAGTGTATTCATTTATATCTAGATGAAGTAAGTGTACTTATATTTTCAGTATACTGAATATTCTGTTTAAAGATATCTAAAAATAATCAGCAATATATTAATTCAAAAATTAGTAATAAGTTAAAAAAATTTTTCAATTGATTTAATTTTTGTTCAGGCTTTTTTAAGGATATTTTTTAAGTGACTTTATACTTTGTTTTCAATCAGTTTTTAAAAAAATGCTAATTTATTTAACAATAAAATAAGAACTAGTTTTTCCCCCTTAATTCTGTAAAGTTATTTAAATGTGAAGAAGTAAAAAAAAACTAAACTATTACATATATAAAACTCACAATTCTTATACCTAAAAATAAAATAAGTATGCTTCGACATGATTTTCAGCTTAAATAATAAAAAAAAGCTTTTAAACTATGCCTTAATTAAATTTTTTTTCAAGTTTATGAAATTTTTTAATTTAAAAATAAAAATTCAGTAATTCGGCAATATAAAATTTTGGTTAAAAATTCTCAGGCTTATTTTATAAAGAATAATTAATTTATAACTTTATGATTAGGTATAAGTAAAAAAATATTTGAATTAAAAATATTTATAGACAAATACCTCCTATATATGTAATACACATTTCAGTATTAATACCTAACAGCATTTTGTTATGAAAATTAGTATGTTGTTTGTAATTATAAATACAATGAGTTAATTGTAGCATAATACAATAGTAGATAATTTGATCATGATATTTTAGAAATTCTTTATATAATTATAAAATTAAGTTTTGTACACCTTAATATAAAACATTAAAAAAAAACTTTTTTGTTTTAATTTCCTAAGAAATTCAATTTATTTTTCTTTTTAATTTCTGCATTTTTATTTTCCTTTATATAAAATCAATTTTCTAATAATATTTAAAGCTATATTGCAATTATGAACAGTTTAAAATTGTAAAACTAATTTTATTTAATAACAACTAATACATGAAAGTATTAGTAGTACTAATACTTTTATGTATTAGTAGTCAAGTACTTTAAATATATATACTAATATTATTTAACACTAAAAAATATTATTTAAGCTAGATTGAAATTATAAACTGTTTAAAATTGTAATACTTGATCTTTCTTTATTAAATTGAGTTTCTTCCACTTTAATTAGAAGAAACAGATTTCTTTCAGATCGGTTTTTTTTCCACTGTGCAAGAAACTTGCTACCCCTGGTTAAGGATATTATCAAGAAACCGCCTTATTTAATTTGATCTAATTTATATTTAAAAATATGTAGACTATATTACTTTATGGTTATGATAAATTATACAAAAAGTGGAGTCGTTCACTGGCTTTCACTTCAACAAAAGTAGCCAAATCTTTCAGCAAAAAATAAGCACCTTTTAAGCACTCAAAAAATATTTTTAAGCACTATATACATTCACAAAATGCAAAATAATTTTCAGACTTAACCAGATCATGATGAAATAACTAGCTTCTGACAAAAACTCGTTCTTTAATTATATTAACGATTAAAAAATGATCAATATACTTTTCAGTTCGATATCAGTGGGTGGAAAATGAAGTCTGAAATCGAGAATATCTTGCAAAATGCAGCAGAGTTGCAAGAATCTCACCGAACCCAGCTTAGTAGATGCATTCGTGGACTTGCAAGTATTTCATCAAACATGTAAAACGATTAGCGCTTTCATACGCCATGGACCTACTGTAAGCCGAAATGGATTGTGGTTGAATGAATTGTGAAAACGTTGAATAGAACAATGGGAAATGCACACTTTTGCATAATACATGGCGAAAATAGACACGGTAAAGGAGAAAAAAAATCTCCTTTTCAAAAATGGAACCTTTAAGCACTTTTAAGGGCTTTTAAAAACGAAAATAAGCACCTTTTAAAAACGCTATGTACCCTGCTTAATTTATCAACCTCTGACTTCCAACACAACATAATGTAGTGTAGTAAATGTTTGAATGATTAAAATAAGATAAGGCATTGATATACATGAGTAAAAAAATGTTTTTATTTGGAATGTTGTTCGTATAAACACACTTTGTTCTCAACATAAGAAAAGATTACTAAACAACTAAAAATAAAAGGCTTTTGTGTAAAAAAAGAATAAATAAAATAAAACCAAATCTACATGACAAGGACAGCTATTTCAGTAATTAATATAAAAATTGTAAAGCGAAAGAAAGAAAAAGATCACAATAAAAATATTTTAAAGGCTAACTTAAGTAGGACATATTTCTAATAAATAAAAAAACAGTGTAAAGGTCTGCTCAATATATCACTCTACAAATGCTTGTGAAAAAGATGAAAAATCAGATGAGGAGAAGAAAAAAAATAACATCACTTTAAGATGTGCGCAATGGTTTCTTTAAATATATATAATTTTTAAAGTAACACTCAAGTTTTTTTTCTTCATATATATATATGCCAAATCATTGTAAAAAAAATTCAATATAGATTTAAATCTTAGATATTTAAACACAGGGTTGCCACACTTATATCAAAGCAAAAATTAAGGACTTTTAATAATAAAAAAAAAATAAGGACTTGAAAAATAGTTGTTTATTGTATACTCTCAGTACCAAATCTTTTGAACTAACAACTGATGTGTCAAGTATTTTAAATAAAGGATTATGAATCAGTCACAGCTCAATCGGGACTAAATCTAAAAATAAAATAGGAATGAGCATAAGTCATAAAATCACTGGACTCCAAACTTATCTTTTACTAATCGTTCTATAATGACGATTTGTTTAGCAGCTGGGAGATCTTGCTTTTTAGTTATATTTACAGCAATAATGAGTAACTTGAGACCAATGTCAAAGCACAGTCATTTGATGCAAACAACCGTCATTTGTTTAAGTATCTGGTCCGAACACCGAAACTACAGAGATATAGATTAAGAAGGGGAAAAATTATTTTGTATGATTACAGCAGTTTAACAAGTCAGTAGCACTTGAATTCAATAAAAATGCACACTGTGATATGAAACTTAAGAACATTTACACAGAAACAAATAATAGATGCAAACAAAAGGTAGGTACAATTTCAAATAAAATTTTAAAAAGAAAACATCCTTCTTAGCTTGTTCTATGCAGGTTCAGCCCCTTTGAGAAAAAAAATGCAAGCTGCGTTAAAATGTTCCTCAATTATTGAGCTTAACAAAATGAGCAATGAAATGAAATAAAACGCAAATAATTTATTCACCTACGCAGAATAGTTTTAAAGTTCATCCTTTCCCTCATCGTCTCCGTCACTCGAAGGGGGTGGAGCTCCGGCATAAAGCTTCGATATAATTGGTTGAATGACGTCTTCCAATTCTTTCTTCTGGCGGTTAAAATCTTCAGACTCTGCATCTTGATTCTCTTCTAACCACTTGATCTTTTCATCCAGGGCCTCCTCCATCTTTTCCTTTTCCACAGAGCTCAATTTAGCACCCAACTTCTCTTTATCATTGATCTGATTTTTTAATGAATAGGCGTACGACTCCAGCTCGTTGCGAGCCTCCACTCTGTCCTTCACTTTCTTGTCGTCATCCGCGAACTGCTCGGCGTCTTTGATCATGCGCTCTATGTCTTCTGGCGTCAGACGATTGTGGTCATTGGTGATGGTTATCTTCTCTTTGATGCCGGTGCCTTTGTCTTCAGCCGTGACCTTCAGGATGCCGTTGACGTCGATTTCGAATGTCACTTCAATCTGCGGCACGCCTCTTGGGGCTGGTGGAATGCCATTCAAATCAAATTTTCCTAAGAGATGGTTGTCTTTTGTCATAGGTCTTTCCCCTTCATATACCTAGAAAGAAAATTGAAACGGTATATTCAAGCAACGATTAAGTGAGTAAACATATGTACAAACATAACATAAATTACATGTACATAAAATAAACATGTAAACATAAATATAAACTGTTTAACAAATTTTTACTCAGGGTGCATAGCCAGATTTTTCAACAAAAAATAAGCACCTTTTAAGTACTTTTTAAGCACTTTAAAAATATTTTTAATCACTTTCCAAAAAAAAAAAAATATTCATTATTAGGATCTGTGCAACAATAAAAAAAAATTTCTATCTTTTAAAGTTCTTAATTTATAAACATAAAATCAATAAAATTCAAAAACATTTTCAAGAACTTTACATAATAATGATAAAATATATAGTTTCTGATAAATATTGCAGAGAAAATTGTGAAAATCGTGCATTTTTTGTAATTGAGAACAGCAATCGACACCGCAAACGAAAAAAAATCTCTTTTTTAAAAAGATAGAAAATTAAGTATTAATAAAAAATTAAGTATTAATTAGTAAAATTAAACTTTTTACAAACCGCGAATAAAAAAAGCGACTTTAAGGGCTTTTAAAAACCGTAAAGCAAAAATAAGCATCTTTAAGCATTTTTTAAAACCGCTATGCACCCTGTTACTTATTAAATAATTGAATAAGTAGTATGATATAATTAAATAGATAAAATAAGTAAATATGTTCCCTTTGAAGAAACAATGCCACACTCTGACAAAATGATGCGAGATTCAGAAGCATTTTTAAAATACCGTATATCCCGGCGTATAACGCGCACTTTTAATACAAAAAATAACATTGGAATTTACGGGTGCGCGGTATACGCCGAATATAAAAAATTATAGATTAAAAAAATTTCAATATAGAAAAATACTTTTATTTTAAAGAAATAACATACCTTTACCTATATACTTCATTGATTTTCGTTATTACATAAATAGTTCATTATATCCGTCTTCCGCTATCAATTACAATTATTAAAATTTTTTTGTATTATAATTACAACTTTTTTTTGTATTATCTGTAAGGTGGGACCTAAACATGTCCCACTCTAAAAGGCTTTCTGGTTTTCTTACGCAACCAGGACGGATTTGCCAGATGTTTTTTTACCCACAATTTAGCACCATTTTTGTCCATCCAGAATCCCATTATTGCTCTTTCAATTCTACCCTCACATACATGTCAAATTCAGTTCTTTTATTTTTGCAAAAGATAGGGAAAAATACTTTTTATTTACGATCTTGAAAGATGAGATATTGCACATGTACAATCCAAATTTTCGTGCGCGTTATACAAAGAGTATATCTTAAAATTTAAAAAAAGTAATTAGAAATTACGGGTGCGCGTTATACGCCGGGGCGCGTTATGCGCCGGAATATACGGTAACTTTTAATTCAATTGATTAGTTTTTTTTTCTCTTTTTTACAGCCTGTCGAACTCTAGAAGTTAGATTTTTATAACTTTTATTCAATTGATTTATTTCATTTTATATCATACGATTAAAATAAATCATTCATTACCTGAGTTTGGTTTGTTTATCTGACATGCTTATTATTTGAAGTTAAATGTGATAAATCTTAATTTTACTTTGTTAATTTATATCAAACTAATAATCATTTATCAATAAAATAAATCACTGATTAATTTTTATATGGTCTGTCAAGCCTTTTAGTTAAATGTTAAAATTGTAATTTTTTTTTTACTTTTAATCTAATTCTATTAATTCTGAGAAGTAATTTTATTCAACAAATTTGTTATAAAATATTTCATAAAAATGTTTAGAGATAAAAAAATTTCAACGATATAGATTGCAACAACCATAATAATGCAGAAGAAATCAAATTCCTTTAACATTAAAACCTCTTCTAGCCAATTTAAATGAAAGTTGAAAAAATTTTGATGTAAAAGAAAAGTTTTGTTAAAAACCACAAGGTGGCATTTTATAGGAGCTAATAGACTTAATCAGTCCTAGCACCAAAGGCACAAAAATTATTGGGGTTCTTCATTTGAAATAATTGATCACATTTAAAAATAATTGATCTTGAATATTTTTTTAAAAACAGTTATTGAAAACAAAATATAGTTTAAGTAACACTTTAATACAGAAACTCAGTTATTTTTCACCCAAGTTACCTTCCACTGAAGAAAAAGAAAAAAAAAACAATTCTAACTTTTTTACAGTCAAAAATCAAAGGGAGTGTGGCTATCTTGCGTTATTTTACAGTCAAACAGAAGATTACCTGAATGGTGACTGTAGGCTGGTTGTCAGCAGCAGTAGAGAAAATCTGTGACTTTTTGGTAGGGATGACTGAATTCCTAGGTATGAGTTTAGTCATTACTCCACCCACCGTTTCAATACCCAAAGTGAGAGGATTTACATCCAACAATACCAATTCACCTAAAAACAACAACAACAAAATAGGAAATTAATAAAAATGCAACAAAATATTTCAAATCCTTAAGCATTTTGAGCACTAAAGATGTCACTGTTTCAGAAAGGTCATTCACCAGTAAGGCTGGGCAATAAATCGATGCACCGGAAAATATCAATTTTATTCAATCATCGCTGATCGGATGTTATGATTGGCAATTTTTCGTAGCATCCAAAATTGTAATTTTCTGAGATGTGTATGATATTTCAGGATGAATTGTTGACATCGATGTCTACACGCATGACGTTGAGCATTCTTCCCAATAGTACATCAATGTCTGCAAGCTCGTACAAAGAACACTTTCCTCCGTAAGTGTGCAGTGATAGCTGTGGTGATGATCGTTATCCTTCCTAGTCTCTTTCACATCGCGACTCATATTATTGCTGACATGATGAATCCGAATGTGATTGAGAATCGAAGTGTTGTGCAAATCCTGTTGATTTTCTTTACAACCAATCCAGCCATTCAATGTTTTTTAACTGTTACTTTGCAGACATCCACGTCTTTAAATATTGAGATATAATTATAACAAAAATGCAATTTACTATTTGCAAATTTACGCAGTACTAAATATAAATAGTAATGTACTGAAACACTGCGATGCATCAAAATATCGTCATGTTATTTGTCGTCAAATATCGAAATCGCCCAGTTCTATTAATCAGCTAATGTTTTTATTGTCTAACAGAACTCAGATCACAATCTGAAATGCAACAGGAATTCACCAATAGACATCCCCTTTACATATATGCAATAGAATGACCTAAACTTATATTTCAATAATATATCATGCCTTGCGATAATGCTGGAAAAAGAGAGACATTATCTGTTGACAGTTTTACCATTATCAAATCTCATCTTGCGATACTATTTAATACTTGTAAACTTATATAATAAGTCTTAAGCTTATCTAATACTTGTATGAAGGAATTCAAATCAAGAGGCAATATTTCAAACTTTGCAATCCAAAATTCAGCTTTTAAAATAAAATACAATGAAACCTCTCGGGAGACACTCACTCTCTGTTCCACATTAAAATGGTTATAAATGGAGGTTGGTCAGTCTTAGGGGTTACCTGCATTGACTTCAAAATGTTATCGAAAGCACAGAATTTTTCGCAAACGATTTTAATTTTAGCTAGTGTCATTTTCTTGGTGCAGAAATGACAATTGGGTTGGCATTATTTAGCACCAATAAAAATAATCCCTATTGATATCATTATGTGAAGAAAAAAAAAAAAACAAATTTTCCAATTATGTATAAAAGAACTATTTTAAATAAACAATTATGTTTTTTGTTTGAGCTTGAATTTAATTGTTAGAGATGCTTAGTCTTTCCTAAAATCACTTTTTTTCTAATTTAACTTTCAACTCTAAAGATAAATCATTGATAGCATTCTTTAGTGTACTCTGACTGCAAAATGAGGTTGTCCCTCCAGAGATCGTCAAAAAGAGCTCTAAATGAGAACGCCACACAAATATCAGTGTTCTAGAACTAAATTTTTACATAAAAAAAATTAGTATATTTGCAGAAAATTAAATACTTTTAATTATTAGAATTCGTTCAAAAAAAATTTCCTTTTAATAAAAAAAAAACACTTTTCCTCAAACATTTTAGCATATATACATATATATATTATGAGAAGTGATTACTCAAATTATAAATTCATGCATCGTAACATCGCATTATAAATTGTTTTTTTTTTTTTAATCATTCATGCAGAATTTCATAGCAATAACTTTTGAAAAGGCGATCGAGACACAAAATAGACTTACAATGGAATCTGATCAAATTGAGTGCGTTAAAAGGTGATGAATCAATTTGCAATTCAAAATTTTTAACATATTTTATTTTTTAAGAAAAAAAAGTTTTTAGTGTGGCTGGAAGCTCCAGTGGACTGCAGGTTGTCAACCAAATTTATGCTAAAAATCATAGCTAGGAGTACAGAAAAGTTTCTCCATAGTCTCCCTTTCCTGAAAATAGTTTCAAATAGTCATAATTTTAGTCCCCTGTGGAAACCCTGCTAAACAATTTAAATAAAAAGTTAAAAACCAAATTTTGGTTTTCTACTTTATTTTGGTTTCTAACTTTTTATTTAAATTGTTTTCCTTTTCTATGAGACTGCACCATAATTTAAGTGAATTATAAATTTTATAATATTATAAATATCACATTATAAATTTCAGAAGTATTATAATAATGCTGAATAATTACCAGTATCTTCCTCTCCACTCAAAACCCCAGCCTGAACTGCAGCGCCATAAGCAACTGCTTCGTCTGGATTGATGCCCCTGGAAGGTTCTTTGCCATTGAAGAATTCCTTTACCAGCTGTTGTATCTTGGGGATACGGGTGGATCCTCCAACCAGAACTATCTCATCAATATCCTTCTTCTGAAGATCTGCATCTTCCAGTACTTTCTGAACGGGTTTCATGGTGGAACGAAAGAGATCCTACATAATATGAAAAATAAATAGATAAAACAGCTTTCCTTATGTTTCAACCAAATAAATTTTACAGCCATAAAATCTTTCAACAAAAAATAAGCACATTTTAAGTACTTTTCAAGTACTCAAAAACATTTTTAAGCACTATATACATTAACAAAATACCAAATACATAGCTGCCAACTTGTCAAAAACAAAAATTGGAACACAAAGCATAAGCCAATCAGGGAAAATAATGGCACAAAGAGTAAAACAGAATATCAAAAATCATAATATCAGTAGTAAAATATCAATTTATAAACCATACATGTTTCAAATAACATAATTTTTGAGTTAACATGTTTAATTAAATTACTTATTAATGAAGAATATCACAATTTTATAGCAACTAATTAAAAAAAACTTGAAAACAAAAATCGTGATATTTAATTTTTAAATCGCGTAAATTTTAAATCAACTAAATACCAAAACCGATGATTGATATTAAAATCGTGTGAATAAGAATTGCGATATTAGCATATTCTGTGAGTTCGTTAACCAATGATCTTGAGATATGCGGAAATCTGCGAAAAAATCACATGACCTGCTTCCAGGTTGTTAAACCTTTCCTGGGTTGAAAGAAAATTGGCAGGAGAATTGAAAAGGTGCTAGAATATCGAAAAATCTGAACATTTTGATCCAAAATCGTATTTTCGGAACAAAGTTGAAAATTCGGAACAAATACGATTTCATAGGAACAGTTGGCAGCTATGAAAATAATTTTCAAAGACTTTGCATGATCATGATAAATTAACTAGTTTCTGACAAAGAACTATTTTTTTTTTCACTACATTAGCCATTATAAAATGATCGAGAAAATTTTCGGCTCAATATGAAAGGGTGAAAAATGAAGCCTGAAATTAAGAATACCTTTTAAAAATGCAGCAGAGTTGCACATGAGAGTGCAATAATCTCACCGAACCAGCTCAGTAGACGCACACGCAAACTCGAACGTATTTCATCAAACATGTAAAATTATTGACGCCATCATGCGCTATGGGCCGAAATAGTTTGCGGCTGAATGAATTGTGAAAACTTCGAATAGAACAATGTAAAAAGCACGCTTTGCATAATACGTGACGAAAATTTACACGGCAAAGAAAAAAAAATCTCATTTTTGAAAACGGAAAATTAAGCAATTTTTAAAAACACCCTTTTAAAAAAGGAAAATAAGCACCTTTAACCTTTATTAAAGATGCTATGCATCATAAAAAATTTAGTATGTATATAACAGACAAGTTTAATATTTTTATAGTTTCTTAAAAAAACAAACTTTCAATTAATTTCATTGGTACTGACTAATAAAAAAAAATTTATGTTGGAATAAACAAATGATGTCAGATATATAGGATGTCATATATAGGATATTTTTCTATATAGGATTTTTTTCTAATATTTTAAAAACTTAAGTTTATGATTAATTACACTTTATGTATATAATTAATATTAAAACATTACATACAACATTACATTAACAATACATTTCATACAACATTACTGCCTTAAAAGTTGCATTACTGTATATAATAGGTGTAAATGTGTGATTTAAATTTATTGGAAATGGAATAGAAATTTATCATATTTCAATACTGAAAAACAGGATTAAAAATATATCAAAATATTGATTTAATATTTACTTATAATTAATACTTGAAATAACAAATTAAATGGCAATGTCTAATACCTTTTAAATCTCAATTATCTTTAGTTAGAATAACTTTAATAAAGTTATTGGAAAAAATAATCACACTTAAGAACAGGCAATCTTAAAGATACAGAAATAAATTTGCTGCATTGAAATAAATTGAAATTTTAAAAACTCTGGATTGGTAAATCCTAATGTAATAATTGTTATGTAAAAAATAATGTAATCGCGCAAAATGTAACTCATTAAAAAATCCAAAACATCCCATATATGCTTAGCTAATATTTAAATCAATGGTTAAAAAAAAACTACTAAATTTAAATAATTTTTTTTAAAAAAATCAGTTAATTTAAATCAAGATTTTAATTGCAATTTAAATGAAGAAACTCTAATCAATATCAGATATCGTATTTCTCAATGAATCTGTTAAGTTAACAGGAAATTAACTCCATGAGCACTATAAGGTGCTAGAATCAGTTGAAAGTGAAGTGAAGAGTGTGAATCTTTAAAATTGAAGTGAAGAGTGTGAATCTTTAAAATTGAAGTGAAGAGTATCTGAAAAGTTAACAGCAATCAAAGAATGCTGAAGCAGATACATAGTTATGGGGAACGGAAGAAAAAAAAGAATTACCTAGGATTGGATATTGAAGACAGAAAGTGAATTTTCACTTGTGAAAATTATGAATATGGTTTCTTTTAGGGTGAAATGAGATTATAAAAAAGTTGCAATATATTCGTTTATACAGTTAAACCCCGCTATAGTGAACCTTCAAGGGACCGAAATTCTGGTTAGCCGTTACGCAGGCAATTTAACTAATGGTCCCCAAACTCCTCCCGTTTATTACACATCATTCAAATAAATGACTGAAAAATATTATGTGGTTGCAAAAAATTTGTTGTTTTTCATTACTCTTCGTCTTGTGTGCAAAAAAAAAAAAAATTAGTAATTTTAAGCTGATGAGCAATCCTCAACATCAGATATGGAAACACTTCTTGACTATCAGATAATTTTTCCTGAATTTCCGTTATTCCGCTTTTTAAACCTGTCTAACCTGACATTCAAGAACATAAAAGTAGTCTCATAAAATTGCTTAACAAATTCATTGACATCTGTCCAGATACTGGAATATTGCGGCTTCTTCGATTGGTGAACCTCTTCAGTAATGCTTCAACATCTTTGTGATCTGCTTTTTCTGGCTTCTAATTTTTTTTCATGAGCAGATATTATTAATCGCCTATTTTGCCATTTGTTACAAACTGCAGATTTGGATAGTTTATATTCCCTGCAAATATCAACTCGATTGCATCCATTTTCAACTTTTCTGATTATGCCCATTTTATCATCAATGGAGAACGTTTTACGTTTACTGGTCGCCATAGTTAAATTTGAGACACTTGCTTTCAGACTTTTTTAACTGAACTGAGAGCAAAGAGGAGTTGAAATGAGGGCCTTATCAACACATATTAGTGTCCAACTCTTTGACCAATAATGAATAATTACTCCTTCCCTCTGACAGAAAATGCATATTGATCCCACTGACATCTCACAGGTGCATCATTTGTCTGGGTTGGAAACATCTGCTTGGTTTGTTTATGGATTGGAAAGTGAGATAAAAAAAAGCAAACAAGAAAAAATGCTTATCGCTACATTCCCCTCTATAAATGGTTTTTAACATTGGTATATGCATTTATTTTGAAGTAGAAATTTCAAAATTATTACAAAAAAAAAAAGGGAGAAAAATCAGTCAAAGACAGAAAAAAGTTCATTACATCCAACTTCCTCACTTTTTTGGTTCACGATATCCACAAAAAATAGAATTATACGTGTATAGCAAGGCACGGGACCGAACATTTCATTCACTATATCCGGAAGCTAACTATAAACCGTGTTCACTATTGCAGGGTTTGACTGTAATTTCAAAATTCATGTGTCCTCAATAATAATAGCTTGTTTTTCAATATAATCAGACTCAAATCAATAATCGTGAAGCACTCATACTAATGCATACATACCTTCTAAAGTAAGAACTCTCGCGCCATTCATCTGGACCTGTGGCCGTGACTACAGTAACGAGGTATAACTATTTCAAGTAGGGGTGTGGGGTCAGTGCTTAGGATATGTTTTGGCTCAGGTCGGCGAGAGAAAGGTAATCTTTTTCTCGGGTCAATGGTGTTACACCCAAGATTAAAGAGAAGCTCCCCTCCCTGAAATGTGCTATTCTTGTTTCCATAGCAGCAGATGGCAATAGACTTTGTGGTGAGGGGAGTTCCTACCAAAGACATACTATAGACTATTTCTTGAGGTGACAATTAAAGATCATAAGTTTGTTTCTTATAAGAGCTAAACATTTAAATGGGTAAGAGTCTGATTATTTTTGTTTAACTATTATAGACAAAATAAATTTGGCAAAATTTAGTAAATTTATATTTACGAAAGAAAGAAAACAAGTTTACCATGTTCAATTCTTCAAATTTTGCTCGAGTCAATGTTTCACTTAAATCATCTCCTTCAAAGAAAGATTCTATTTCTATTCTAGCCTGATGCGCAGACGAGAGGGTTCGTTTAGCTTTCTCAACTTCTCGTCTCAATTTCTGGACTGCTCTGTTGTCCTTTCTTATATCCTTGCCTGTTTTTTTCTTATATACTTTCATGAAATGTTCCATGACACGCTGGTCAAAATCCTCACCACCTATGAATAATAAAAATATTTACCAAACATTTCGATAATGCTTTTAATAATAAAAATATTTACCAAACATTTTAATAATAAAAATATTTACCAAACATTTTAATAACGTTTCAGCTAATCTAGATAAACAGCACAATGGAACATCATAGCATTAACGCATAGCATTCCGTTCGATATCAGAGGGGGGAATGAAGCCTGAAATTGGGAGTATCTTGCAAAATGTAGCAGAGTTGCACACGAGAGAGCAATAATCTCACCGAACACAGCTCAGAATATATTCACTTACGGACATGAAAGTATTTCCTCAAACATGTAAAATGATTGGAGCTATCATACGCTATGCACTAACGGTGCATCGAAATAGATTGTGATTGAATGAATTGTGAAAACATTGAATAAAACAATGTGAAAAGCACCCTTTTGCATCATACGAGACATGGTAAAAATAAAAAGAATCTCATTTTCGAAAAGGGAAAATTAAGCACTTTTTAAAAACACCCCAAGAAAAAAAGCCTCTTTAAGCATTTTTATAAAATGCTACGCACCATGCTTTATAACATGCAAAGAGAAGTTTTTCTCCATTTTAATGCCTTTCCACAAAATATTTAAGACTAGAGCAAACAGTTTTCAAACTATTATAACACAAGAGCAATGTTAGGAAATTGGAAAAACTAGCATTCGGATAATATCTTACCAAGATGAGTGTCGCCATTAGTGGCCACAACTTCAAAAACCCCATTATCTATCGTCAATAGGGAGACATCAAAGGTTCCACCACCCAGATCAAACACCAAGACATTCTTTTCTCCTTCTCTCTTGTCCAATCCATAAGCAATAGCAGCTGCTGTCGGCTCATTGATGATTCGCAAGACATTCAATCCGGCGATGGATCCGGCATCTTTGGTCGCCTGACGCTGGGCATCATTGAAATAGGCTGGAACAGTGACAACGGCGTGGCTCACTTTCTTTCCTAGATAAGCTTCAGCTGTTTCTTTCATTTTTGTCAGTACCATGGCTGAAATTTCTTCTGGTGCAAATATCTTTTTACCCTGTGTGGTATCAACTTCAATATGGGGCTTGCTATGCTTCTCCATGACCTAAGAATACATATATTTTAATACATTTAGTTCATACAAGGCCGTCTTAATAGCATGCCAGGGCCCTGGGCGCAAAAATATTTTAGACCCCTATAACATATCACAATGTTTAAAAACAAACTAAAAAACTTCACATACATAAAATAAATCATTTTTAAGATATGGTGCAATAATTTTAACAAATTTAAACACACTTTGATTACCCCAAAAACTCAAAAAAAGCATTTTTAAACTATGAATAATTTGGATGCGAATCATGGAAGTTAATTAAAATATTAAAATTAAATAAACATAAAGGTATAACAAATTTAAAAAATTCAAAAGGTATGAATTATTTTGCCAAACTAAGGAGTTATTAAAACATCTTTCAATGCCCAAGTACCTAAAATTTTCATTGGAACGTAGAAAAATAGATTTCGGTTGCCTTTTTTAAGATTTCTTGTAGATAAACTAATTACTGGTGATTGCATGACAATCAATCACTATTTGTAGAAAACACACACTTTATATAATAGAATATATTTATTTTAAATAATATATAAGGCAATGTTGTTTAGTCTTTAAACACAATTTATAAAAATTAAGATTCTCAAGGGCCCCGAGTGCCTGGGGCCCCAGGTGTGCCCATGCGTAAAGACTGTACTGAGTTCATAAATGGCGAAATAAAATTTTATTTCATTTTATAACCGTGGTTGAACAGCTGACCAATTTTGTTGATGACCAATAAACTTGATGTTTTTTTTTTTCAAAATAAATTTTGCTCGTAATCATGAAATGTTGGAATAAAATATCTAAAGTTTTGATTAATATTAAATTCTGTCATGTTTACAAAATAAGTAAATTCTATAGAATTTCTAATGTAAATTTAAAATACTGCTCCTTTCTTTTTTTAAAAATGTTATTGCTTTAAAAACTTATTTAAATAAGGCATATGTCATCTTTATTTGTTAAAATAAAACTAGTGCCCCACTCACTAAAGTGAAACATTTTTAACATAATTTCCTATTACTTCTTAAATTAAACTTTATTAATAATTTTAGGTAAAAAAATTTTTTTCTTTAATATGTAAGACTATGCTCTCAATTACAAAATTTAGAAAGCAATGAAATTAATAAATAAAAAACTCGATGAATACTTTATTTTATACAAAGCTTAAAGTGAATAAAATATATATTTTAGTTCAGACTTATATTACTTTCAGCAAAAATGAAAAGAGGGAAAAAAAACTTAGAAAACCCTCTGTGCAATACAAGAAATCCCTCATTGTGTTAAAATAAAAAAAAAAGGGGTGGTGAAAAACAGTATTAAATATCAACACAGAATATTTATTTTTCAAATGAAATCTAAACAAAATATAATAGTAAAAACATTAGATAGAAACATGAAATTTTGCAAAAAAAGTAATAAGATACTGATAAAATAAACATGTAGGCAATAATTCTAACTAGTCATTCTAGCATAAATATTCAACATACATTAAAAAAAAAATATATAAGACACAGGATATAACAATTAAAAATTAGTTTTCTTTAAAATCTGTCATTCAGTTAACTAATAAACTAACTTGGAAGTAATGATTTGTACAGTATTTGAGATAAAGTTACTAATAGGATAAACTTATTTTTAAAAAAAATTATTATACCCTAAAAGGAAAATATTTAACATCTCTTTGTACAGTAGGTTCATTCCAATCTCTACCAATGAGCCGCTTGGCATCGAAAATTGTATTTTCAGGATTTGAGGTGAGTTGATTTTTTGCAGCATCTCCTATCAACCTTTCCCCTTCAGCTGTAAATGCGACATAGGATGGAGTGATTCGATTTCCTTGATCATTTGCAATGATTTCCACTCTGCCATTCTTGAAAACACCCACACTGCAGGAAAAGAACAACATTAACGATAATTTTATATCAACAAATACTACATTTACATACTTAACTGCTACAAACTAGAATTATTGCAGTAGGCTATCTGCACAGGTGCCCCTCTTCAGTCCTGGGGACTGAAAGCAGCCATAAAAAAAAAATCAGCGGACGAAATTCCATTAATATCTCTCTCCAGATTGTTTTTCAAATTTAATTTTTTATTATTTCCTTAAAAATGTGATAAATATTTTCTGTTAAAAACAAATACAGGATGAAGTCAAATCTTTCAACAAACAAAAATAAGCACCTCTTAAGTATTAAGGACTAAAAAAATATTTTTAAGCACTCTGCCACTACATTATACATTAAAAAAATGCAAAATAATTTTCAAAAACTTTACAAGATCATGATAAAATAACTAGTTTCTGACAAGAGAACTTTTTTCATGATTATATCAGCCACCATAAAAAGATCGAGATTTTCTTGGTTCGATTTTAGAGGGAGGAAAACGAATCCTGAAATTGAGAATATCTTGCAAAATGACCACGAAAAAAATTTCATTTTCGAAAAGGAAAAATTAAGCACTTTTAAACACTCAATAAAAAAAGCACCTTTAAGGACTTTTAAAAAACAAAAATAAGCATCTTCAAGCACTTTTTAAAAACGCTATGCACCATGAAACAAATCAATTTTAATGGTAGCGCGTTATTTTTATATTTATTGCTAAATAATCAAGTAATAATGTCACTTCGCAATGAAAGAATGAGATTGATTATGAAAGAAAAATTTGTACTATTGTTGGATATAAATTCTGATTTAATGTAATCTCTCTCCTGACCTTTTGAAATGCTAGCTTAACTTAAATTCAGATTATTATTATTATTATTTTTTTTTTTTAAAGAAAGATATTTACAAAGCTAGGATAAAGGATCTGTGGTTTATATCAGTGATTTTGCTCGGTGATTACCGTAAAGAAGAAAAACAATGTTAGCTATTTTTGTTTTGTTTGCAGTTAATGAAAATATTATTCATTTTTTTTTAGAAAATATTGTTTATTTTTTTAGAAAAAAACCTGACAGGCCAAATTTTTAGCAATTAAAATATATTAAGCTTGATAATATATGGAAAAAAAAATTTCTTGTTGCAGATTTCAGGCTTTTTATTTCAATTTTTCCTCATTTCACGCTTGGCTAGTCTTGAGAATGTATGCCTGCTTTTAAGCATGCAAAAAATTACTAACTTTTTTCCACTTTAATAATTTTGAAATAAACAGCTTTTATTCAATCAGCTATTATTTATCATGTTTCGTGAGATTATACATTAAAAAAAAGAACTATTCTACGCTTAAAAAAAAATTTAAAAATAATCTCAAATAATAATTTTAAAAAATGAGTGACATTTGAAGGTTACATAAATTTGTCTGTATAAAATAAAAAACATTAGGAAATGAAGACTTACCATGAATATGTAGTTCCCAAATCAATACCAATGACTGTACCTATTGAATCTTTCTTTGAATCATCTTTACCAGAGACATTAGACAGCAAAAAAAAGAAAATGGGCAACCAAATCATTTTCCTGCAAACATTCATTTAGAAGTTTATTAATATAGCATAAATAAAAATATTTCAATTTAAATATTAAGATAGAATTCTATTTTTGAATCAAAATCACAGCACTAGATTATGAGACAGTTGTCATCTTAAAGAATTACAAAAAATAAGTATATACTTTCGACATAACAGATTTAAATTAGATAAGTCAAATTCTGCAAAGCATTTCAATTGAAGACTAGACGTAAAAATTCAGGTACGCATAAGATCATTTGAATTCGCTCCTCACTTTATAAATTTAGAACAAATTCTTTATGTGTTTTGTTCTGAATTTTCTTTACATTTTATTTTCCGTTTTTTGCTTCATATGCTTTGTTTCGTATATATTTTTTACTTAACATGTTCTATTTTCATTTCAATTTTTTGAGTGCTCCTCACACTATTGTATTGATATATTTTGATTTGGCTATATTGATACAATATTAGAAAGCACTCCTTCTTGCAGATATAATCGTGTGAGCTGATGGAGAGAATCTATATTTTGTTTATTTTGTCTTTTCGATGTTTAATAAGTTTTTTTAAAGATAAATAAAAAAAATTTTATATTTTTAAAAATAATTTTAATTTAATAATTTTTCTTCTACTTTGTCATGAATCTTTATTATTACCCATATTTTCTCAATATTTTACCGATACAGTGCAGAACCAGTTATCCGGAAATCAGAAAACCGGAAAACCAAAAAACCGGAACGAAATTCGATAAATTTTCCGCCATTTTTAAAAAAATTAATTTTTTTCCTCATAAGATTTTAGGACTTTTCTTTCTTTTTTGAAAGATGTTTACCATACCATCATTTTAGAAATAATCATTACTGTATTACTTCATCGTTTTTTCTTCTTTTTAAGATTATTTCCAAATATTATTATTTTTTTTAGTTGAGTTTAACAATAAAAAAACGGCTTTTTGTAGCGATTCAGAAAACCGGAATAATCAGTTATCCGGAATAACGATGGTCCCGATCGTTCCGGATAATCGGTTCCCTACTGTATATATTTAAACACAATTTCATGACCGACATATTTATATTAATTCGGACAGCATTACTCGCAGGTCACCTTTACTTCCCATGCAAGCTGTTATCCAGAGCTCTAATATTCTGCGGGTCTGTGCCTATACTGTGCAGAATATCTGAAGATTCACCGAATGTCAGTTATTATTAATATATGAAGGTTGCCACTTAAATCTAGCACTTACCCAGTGCCTGATTTATCATAATGCCTGAGAGGTTGTGACCTAGGGCCCTTACATTTCTGGGGCCCCCTAAATGTCATAAATAATTCCCTTCTGTATTTTTCTTCTAGAATTGTCTATTAGAGTTTACTAATGTATCATAATCTACTTTGGTTATAAATTTAAGAACATTTCATAACTAAACATGTAAATTTAGTCTAAAGTAATGACCAGGGAAGATTCTGACAGTTCTGTACCTAGGACCTTCAAATTTCTAGATCAGGACCTACATTTACCATTTTTAAATTTCAAGTTTTTATTTTTAGATAATTTAAAAACATAGAAATAATACTGTTTAGGAAAAAAATTATATGCATGATCAAAGATATTCAAATTTGAAAAATTTATTTATAAATTGCTAATGTATAAAATATACATTCTCAGAAACACACCAATAGGGCATAGAGGAATCCTTTTAAAATTTGAACTGCATTTAAAAACAGGATTCCATTATAAAATTTAAGGTAAGGTAAAAACCAGTCAATATATATTTAATTACTAAAATCGGCTTATATAACAAAATGTCAAAGAAAAAACTATAAATTTATTAACCTTGTCAATCTTTCACACATATTAAACTGTTTACGTAAATATGATTGTCTCAAAATTTATTTGAAGACAGCTGATGTGCTCCCGAAATTATAAATGTTACAGTAATTCAATTGACTAGTTAAAGTTACATTGACTATCACATTTTTTTATTGAAATAAACGATTAGCGTAAACTACGCAGCAATAAATTGGTGTTGCATACTAAATACGCGATTCAATATTGAATTTGAGTATTATTAAGAATCAAAGGCATCTACTATAGAATAACAATCAAATATCTAACAAGCACTGAAGATTACATTAAGGAATATATAAGAAAATTATAATGTCACAAAATTTGCAAGAAAGAAACACACAGGTAAGTTATCTATTAAAAGTTAAACAATAGTTTACCTTGGATAGCTTATATGAAATAACGAAGCAATCTGCAAGTTTCAAGACATCAACTGTACTGTGTACTAAATTTAATAAACTGACTTGAAATATCTCTGACACGTAAATACTCGTGGCAAAGTCAATGATCGAAAATGAAACTATCGGTCGTATCGGCTAGCGGTGACAGGAAATAGGTAACAAATTGTTGACAGGTAGACGCAGTTAAAATATTTCATTAAAACCGTCCGTGTCTTTTTATGATTGGCTACGTATAAGGCTCGTATCTAGCTACTTAAAAATTATAAAACTACTAATGTCTTTCTAAATCTATAATGAAATTAAACTTAATTTAAAACTCATTCAGTCTCAATTTTAATAAGAAATAAACTTTTTAACAGTCTTCTTAAAAATAAAAAAGGAATGAAATTTATATTTTTATGCTTTCCTTTTTCTGATATCAACTCAACTCCAAAAGAATTTTTTTTAAAGAGGGGGCAAAGTAGGGAAAAAATTTATTTGTTTTGTTGGCTTTTTTGTTGTTTTACACTTTGAGCCTGTTAATAAGATGTGACCAATACACATATTCTCTGAAATCAATTCAGAATATGTTTTTAATTATTAAGAAAAAAATTAAGAAGCCAGAGTACAAAAAGCATTTACAAAAATCCTTACTTTTGCATTTTAAGTGAAAGTATTGCATCAAATCACCTTCGAATTAAATTTATATATTCTTCCTCAGTTATTGACTTAAAATGACCTTAATACTTTTAGAATTTTAAAACGTGAAGCATTTTGATTTTAGAGAAGGTAATTATCTTTTATTGAACTATGAATTTGTTATAAAGTAACACTTATATCGAGCAATATTTACGTTTTTATCGGTTTTCGCATTGCTGGATTGATGAGTTTAAATATTGTGCTATTGATTTAGTTGTCTCCGTAAATGATTTAGTGACTCTTTTATTAAGTGTTATCTATTTAATATCCTTACTTTACAAAAATGAGATTGCTCAATTTTTAGCATCATAGTGAATTGTACAAATTTAAATTACTTTAAACTCAATAATCGTCGCTCTTATGTTTAAAAAAACACGTTTTCCATTGATATATGAGTCAAACATAGGATATCTATCTGTGATTAGTTAGTAATGGTGCATTCAGTTAACAATTCGATCACACATGTTGTAATTTTCTTTGATATGTATGCATGGGTCTGTTTAGAAGAAATTTGGGTCCTTTAACGGACCCTTCACAAAATATCTTTTAATGAAAACGGACCCTTCACGAAATATTTTAACTTAAGGACGGACCCTTCACAAAATGATTTTTCTTTTAATCGGAACCTTCACAAATTTGTTTTATCTTCATTATTGTTTTGTTAATCGAATAAACCCTTCCCAGGGGGTAAAAACAAGAAAGATGGATGTAAACGAATCAAGTTTTGTCTTCAGCAGACGCTTCTTCCTATATTTATCCGAAATAAATATTCTGCAGTATTGGCTAAATACCAAATATTTGTATGTTGCATCTCTAATTTCAGGGTTCCCACGGTCCTTGAGAGTCCTTGAAAGTCCTTGAATTTTTGTGTGCTAAATTTAGGTCCTTGAAAGTGCTTGAAAAACGTCTTAGGTCCTTGAAAAACTTGATAGGTCCTTGAATTTGTCCAATACTGCCGGCGGCCCTTTTTATAAAACACCCACGGATCTTTCTGTTTTGTTCCCGAGCTCTCTCACGTGTTTTTTAACGCCACCGTTTCTAACCGGGCCTA